TGGATAAAGAAGATGGGGTATGTACACACACTGGAATACTACTCAGCCATAAGAAACGATGAAATCCAGCCATTTGTGACAACGTGGATGGACATTGAGGGTATTATGCAAAGTGAAATAAGTCAGAGGAAGAAGGTCAAATACCATAGGATCTCACTCATTAAGTAGTAGATAATAAGAACAACAAACAAACACATCGAGACAGAGATTGGATTGGTGGTTACCAGAGGGGAAGGGGGGAAGGAGGGGGGCGAAAGGGATAATTAGGCACATGTGTGTGGTGATGGATTGTAATTAGTATCTGGGTGGTGAACATGAGAACATGATGCAATCCATGCAGAAGTAGAAGTATAATGACGTACACCTGAAATTTATACAATGTTATAAACCAATGTTACCACAATAAACAAAAAATGAAGGAAAAAAAAGTGATCCTTTCAAAAGGTAAGTCAGATCGTGCTACTCTTCTGCTCAATCTCTCACTGCCTTCCTCCTCCTGCCCCCGACATATCACATTTCACTACAAACAAGAGCCAAGCTCCTTCAAAAGGCCTACTAGGCCCTACCTAATGTGGGATTCTGAATCTCTCTGACCTTATCTCCAACTCTTGTCCTTTTTGTTCACTCCATGGCAGCCACACTGGCCTCTCCACCCTTCCTCAAATGTGCTAGACACTCCTAGGCCTTGGAGCCTTTGCAGTAATTGGTCCTTCTGTCTGAACAACACTGCCTTTTTATATCAGCAAGGCAAACTCCCTCGCCTTCTTCATTTCTTTGCTCAAATGTCACCCCTCCAATGAGGACTACCCTGCCCACTTTTTAGTATTGAATTTAACGCTCCCTTTCTTTCCTGGCATTTCTGATCCGCCTTACACTGTTCTGTGTGAGCTTACCACTGCCACCTCCCTCCCACGGCCTCCAAACCAGAGTACTTATTACCTTCTAAGGTACTGTATAACCTGTTATTTAAAAGGTTTACCTTTTATTTTCTGCTTTCACACAAGAGAGCTTGTGATTTGTTCATATATGTATCCCAGGTGACTGGAACCATGACTGGCACAAATGGACCTTTGTAAATATGTGTTGAATGCGTGAATGGATGAATTGTTAGATAATCACAACATCCAAAATAATGTAGGCCCAGTTATTTTTGAGACTTTACAGAATGAATCAAGAGTCTCCTTGGTCAGAGTTACAGGAGGGATTTCAGGCACTTCTCGTGTGTTGCACATTTTGAGATAACATTTATAAGGGTATCATTTGTCACAGGAACTGAGGCAGAAATTGGCCAGTCAAGAACTGGGCCTGATTTTCACCAGCTGGTTATGGGCTCTACCTTCCCTTCCAAATCACCCTGTGTCAGCTTTATGCCTGTTGGGTGATGAGCAGTACAAGCCTAGAGTCCACTTTTTCTCCCCAAACCTGTTCTCCAAGCCCTGGATCGCTCCAGAGTTATTCTTCTATATAGCTTTGGCTGAGCTGAGACCTTCCTTTGTGCAAGTGTCCTCACACAAATTTTCAAAGAAATTCCATTAGCTCTTTGATGTTTAACTGTTTCATGGCTCACAAGCCCCGGAGTAACCTGTATACAGGTCTCAGTACATCTCCGTACCAATCACCCTTCTTCACTACCACCACTACTACAAAATCATTTCCTTCAGAAAGCTAGAATTCTACGCTTCTGCCAAAGGAAGGAGACAGAGGGATCCTGAACACTACCCACTTCACGGGGGTGAATGTGAGCCCAGGCAGAATCCATATCTGCCTTTCACCATGACCACGGTCTGCTCTGCACACGACTGCTGAGGCCGCGGCCACAACACTGGGCCCAAGGAGGACATCCTCCAGCTTGTTTCTTAGCATGGGCAGATACCCACTGCTTGCTGCCTGTGTCTTACCCCAGGAACTCTACTCTGCCCAGGGTAAGAGTTCTGCCAGCCCATTGTACCTTCTGGATTGGAAACAGCATCAGCGAACAATATTGCAGGCCCAGAAAGGTTGCTGTTGAGTTGGTCTACTGTGTGATAGCCAGGACCTAGGATTTGAGGATTGATGGAGTGTTCAGGGTGGCGAAGTTTCTGAGCAATGTGTTGTGATGGGGAAGACACACTTGTCTTGGAAGGAAATACTCACTCTACACATAGCAATCCCTCAAGGATGCCTGGCGATTAGGGCCACAACAAGTCAGACTAAAGGGATGTCCACAGCTAATCCCCAAACGGCTTATTGACTTTATTTTCCCACGCCTCCTCACCTCACCCCAGCACGCTCCTTCTCACTTTTACCCTGGGTTTTAGTGGCGTTTGAAGACAGAAGACTTCTCAAGGCTGGGTGGAGCCCCAGGTGTCCCGGTGATGCAGCCTGTTGTTTTAGTATAAGAGTGTGGGCTTTAGACTTGCCCGGCCCTGAGTTCATGGCCAAGGCTGTCACTGGTCAACCAGGTGATCCTAGCAACTTGCTTCTGATATCTGACTCTGAGTTTCCTCTTCTGTAAACTTGGCCTCGTGGTGCCGACCGTGCTGGACTGTTGCAAAAGTTAGAAACAACGTATGAAAACAGCCATCAAAGTGCCTGGCACAATTTAGGCACTCAGGAAATGGCAGCTGCTGCTCTTGCTATGCATTAGGGACTTTTGGGCTCTCTGTCCCTGAGCTCCCTAAACAAATGGAGTGTTCTAGGACCCAGAAACTCAATCCACTGTAGAGGTATCCCGGCAACTAAAACTGCAGCTTTTCCACTCACTTTGTGGAAACTCTGCTGGGGTGGGGCCAGCTTAGGTTTCGGACTTACACAGCAAGAGGCTCCCAGCTTGTGTCCCATCTGGATACTGCTCAAAGCTCAAAGAATTTATGTAAATGAAACAATGAATATTCTCTTTTTCTCACCACCTTCCAGAAGCCCCTTTCCCTGCCTCTCCTTCAGCCCTGTCATTCATTTCACAGCCACCGGAAACCCCGCCCTTGTTCAGCATTTACCTAATCAAATGAAGATTAACTCTTTGCAGTACCAATGTAGTGTGTTGGGCGGGCGGGGTGGGGTGGGAGACACACTAAACCTCCAGGCCAAGGGGGGAATAAGCTTGGGCCATTGATTGCTTCCTTGCTGGGCTAAGGCAGGTCACCCAATCCTTTGTGCATCCCTGTGGAGCCTCCTGCCTGAGGCCTTCAGGATTCCAGCAGTCATCTCTTTTATAGTGCAGCTTGCAGTATACTCCCACTCTTTCTCCCTTTACATTAGGTACTACTGGCTCTCTGACTGAATTAAGCTTCTTGGCCCACACTTGCAAATAACCATTTTAGACAATTGGATGATTATTCCCCACCAGAGCCAAAGAAAACACGGATTCAGACGGGTTTTGGAAGGGCACTGTTTCTTCCCCTGAGCCAGCTGGCGCTTCCTGTAAAATGGGGGGTAATCTTACCGACGTGGCAGAGATAATATGTGGCAAGCCCCTGGTACAGGTTCGTACCAGGAGATGCTCAATAAATCTTTGCTCTGCAGGCTCTCCCACTTACTAGCTGACCGACTTCTATGAGCCCCCTTCTGCAAACACACACGCACGCACACACACAAACACACACTTTTGAAACAATTTGTGCACCCTAATAAACTGTAGTTCCTGAGAGAATGCCAGGTTACCTTTCAGAGATGCCACAGGTCGAATCTTCTCTCTGGCTCTTCCAAGAGGCTCTGCTTTTTGGAGCCTTTTTTTAAAATTATTCCAGGATTTATCATTATATTAATAATGTAATCATCTTCATTCTCATTAAAATCAGCCATAACTCCCACCCTTTGAGTCTCTAGCCCCTGCTCACCTCTTCCCCAACTCATTTCTTTTTCTCCACTTTCCCCTAGACAGAACCTTAATAGTTCAGTGAAGATTCTGTTTTTTCTCTAATGTCCATGCTGCCTTTAGTGCCTCCATATTTACTCCCTTCCCCATCTCCAATATTATTTTCAGACGCCAAATTGTCATCTCACCAAGAATTTTCTGACAGTCCCATCTTTTTAATTTCCGTAGTACCCCCACAATGTCCTTTTTCCTGCAACCATTCCTCTCTCCTCTGCCCTCACCTCAAGCTGATTTACATGTATTTTCTATTTTCACAGCACTCTATGATGTTCCCTTCCCTTTGCCAATGCCCCCTCCCCCAAGCTGGGTTAAGTATCCAAAAAGTACCTAATATAAAACATTTTCATAGTATGTTCTGATGCCCCTTTCAAGTCCCCCAAGCTTATTTAAGCATCTCTTGGGTTTTCATAGCACCCTATGATGTCCTCTTTCCTGTCCCACCCCCCAAGACAGGTCACATAAGCTTTTGTACCTTTTCTTAGCGCCCCATGCTCACTCCCTATTACAGCACTTAAACTGCCAGTTTACATATTTGTCTCTCCTACGTAATCTAGAACATTCTTTAGAACTGAGGGTTTTGTGCTAAGGAGTATCCTCCAAACCTAGACTTGTGCCTCACACATAACCGGTGGTCAATAAATGAACAAGGTGTCCTTGTCATGACACTTTTATTTTTTCTATGTTTTGCGGTAGCTAAGCAAAATCATGGTAGTTGTCAGTCTTCTTTACACAACAGCAGACACAAAGGTTTTCAGGAAGGTCACACATAAAAGAATTCTCCCATCCTTCTCTCACATTTTGCTGGTTATTTCAAACTTTCAAAGAACAGCCTATTTCAATGATATAAAATATGTACCTGACCACAGAATATGGTGGAAAGACCTCATTTTAAAATGTTAGCAAAACTGTTATACTAAATCTCAATGGCAGAAAAAAAGAAACAGGTTTTATTCACTCATGTTTTTAAATATATCGTGACCTAAATCAACACTGTATTAAAATGAATAAAATTTTACAATATCCAAAGCAAACCCTCTCTTTCGTAGTTTAAACAATTAGCACTGATCACAAATACTAAATACAGTGCCCCCCTTCCCCATCATATTCAATTCAGGACCCAGGTAATCTACTCTTTGGGGTACCTTTGATGCTCTTTCCAACCCCTCTCAAGGGTCTGCCCCATATTTCCCTAAGGGGCGGAGTAACCCCTAGCACCTGAATTGAGGATAGCCTCAACTTCTGCATCATCATCCGAATCCCAATCATAATTACATGGCCAGTCCTTGGAGCATCGGTTACGCACCCTTGCCACAAAATGCATGACTTTCAGCTTGCTAGATTCCACGTGTGCTCGAGGTCCCCAGAAGAACTCATACTCCACGGGGCGGCTACAGGGCACAGGCTTATAAATCAAGTACCCTCTGCGCACAAACTCTTCTGTGACGACCTTCTTTGGATCTCCAAAGATGCTGTGCTGCCGGCCAGGCTGCATCCCCAACTTCCCTAGCACTTTCCAGACCAGGGCCTCCTTGGCGCTGTTGCCCATGAAGAAGATGAGTGCTAATATGGACATCAGGAGACTTTTCCTGGCGCCTTGAAAATTGCTCCGGGCTACCGAAGGCTTTTGTGCTTGAGCGGTGCTCGAGGCTTCCGCAGGGGTAGTGGAGGCCTCTTCCGGAGTGTTCCGGGCTGCCTCCGGGCCGCTCAGGCTGTCCTCCGGGGTGCTTGGGACAACAGAGGCCGCCATTGGGGTCTCGGAGGCTTCTGAGGCCCGGATCTTACGACTGTTGCGGTTCTCTTCTGCGGCCCTTGCGTTACGGCGGCGCCGACTCTTGCGTCCCCGCGGCATATCTCCTGTTAGGGGCACCGAGCCTACAGCAGTTCTAGGGAAGGACGCCTGTAACCTCTGCAAAAAGCAACTATCTTTGCCTTAAAAAGTGGCCGCCGCTGAAGCCACCAGTGTCAATAGAGTCTTTGTAGCAAGAAGCCACACGTTGTCAGCGACAAAGCTCACTCGGATGCCAGCCTGCTTGCGTGAGCAACAGCCCCCTGCATCCACCCCAGCTGCAAGCGCAGGAGAATGCTGGGCAGAATTGACTCCGCCTCTGCTGCCACGCACTGGCCTAACTCCAAAGAGGAAGTGGGCGGTTCCTTCACCCAGACTTCCACTGTCAGATAGGAAAAGCGGCAGGCCGCGGCAGGGGTGGGACTAGGGCAGAAATGAGGGCTAGAGGTTGGCCAGGACAGGGGTATGCAGAGGAGAGATGAATACCATAGG